ATTTATATATACTTCAGTTATAAGATGTGATGATTAAGAATCGAAAAATCATCACGAAAATATTTGTTCCGGTCAAATAGTTACCGAACTCATTTGTCACATAGTAAAATATGTTGAATATTGATACTCTGGAAATTCAGTCATATTTCTCTGTCATAAGTTGTTTATCATCTTTGAAGAGTAACAGCTGTGGTCCGTCCTTCGCATTATGTGTCATGTGGGATACATCTAGTAAATAGAGAGGGTCAAGGTAAATTATTGGTGTTGTGTGGTGTAGTTGTTTTCTCTCCATTTATTATCTACGTATTTATAATAATTCATCTCATTAATGCAAATGATCTTATAAATCTTTTTTTTGCACGTGATCAAAACAATTTCTAATTTAACATTTTTTTAAACACCTTCTATTTGTCAGTGGTTGTAATATAATTACGTATTTTAGTTTGTTTGGGGTAATTATAAAAGGGAAAGATTTGTGTATTTCCGATCAGAGTCTCGTGTTCTAAAACATAGTAGATACCTAAGATTCTTTGAGAAATACCAACTTACCTACATAAATCTAAACCAGTGGACAGTTATTACAAGGTGTTAAGTATGATGCACTTCGAAGAGTGTTTTAAAAGAATAAATGTTTTTTTGAAATTAATCGGTCTGAGTATAGACAACGATGATCATAATAAAACTATGGTACAAAGATTACGGAAACATTGGATGTGTTTCATTCATTTTTTTTCGTTCAACATTTTGGTTTTGGGAGAAATAATATGGCTGATCCAAGGTTTAATTTATGGAGTTACATTGTGGGAAATTACTTACTTAACACCCTGCCTCACACTATGTTTTCTTGGAAACTTCAAAGTTTACTTTTTTCTTCGTCACATGCATCATGTTAGCGAGTTGGTCAAAGCCTTAAGACAGTTACACAGTTCTATTAAGGAGACCGACGAAGGAATGGCAGATAAAGCGAAAAAATGGCTGCTGTTTTTGACCTCAATCTCGAACTTAATTCTACTGCTATTTATCTTAGGTGCAACCGCTTTTGCCTTAGGTCCATTTGTGATATCTGGTTCACATTATTACACTACTGGTGAAATAAAATTATTTGTACCTTTCCTCATTTGGTATCCTTTCGATCCGTTTGATATAAGAATTTGGCCTTTCGTATATCTTAATCAACTTTGGGCAGGTGAGTTAGAAAACTAATTTTTTAGTAATTTTGTTAATTAATAATTCTTTGTGTATTTTTACACGTAAATTACACATGTTTTTTACCCAATAATCTGTCAATCAGTCGGGATATCCTAAATGATGGCATAATTTATCTACTTTGTAAAGCTACATGTCTATATTTCATAAAAGTTCAGTTCAGTAAAAAAAAACAAGGGATAAAGTTTGCCCATTTATTATTGATCTGATTTTAAATAAACATTAAGATTTGTGTGTGGTGGGAGATAATCGAACACACATTGTAATTTCATGGAATAATGCACGAAATTGGAAATTCCATTTAGAATAATATTTCCACTTCTCGCGTGGTGATTGCATTTCGATCGTATGATCAGTGGTTTATATGAGGTGCCATAATGGTGGATTTATAGCGAAACCGCGACCTCATATAAATCGTTGTTACGGCTTTGTTATTGGCACCCGTTCCACATGAAAGTGTTGAAATGATCTGCTATCATGGAAAATTGTTAATCTATAATATTTTATTGATAAGCAAGAAGTTTGTTCTTGACTTTTGCAAATGCACTTTACCTACTTATTTATATTCTAAATAAAAATTAAAAGAAAGATATTTAAGGCAACTCAATGATGTATTGAAAATTGGCAACTATTTTATTTACCTGTGCTCATTTTTAGTGTCGGAATGTGTTGATTGAGCATTTAATTTTTTTAAACCATTGCGCTTTGCAATTTTGGAATCATACCTATAACATTCAGATATACCAGATGAGCCGTATTAATGTGAAAAGAGTCAAATATACCTCTACAGTATTACATCCTGTAAGCCATCTTATGTCAAGGAGATTCTCAGTCCAGCACTAGACACTATTGCAGTGTAAATGAATGATTATAGACTCAAGACTTTTTACAGCATGGGTGGCGATATTCTCTGTCTACGGCCCCGACTGTTTCTTCTTCACATGTTGTACTTTTATTCAAATTCAATTTCTGAAACTGCAACATGACATGGAAACGATGGTTAAAGAAGGTTCCAGAGATCGAGAAGACAGCACAAAGAATACATTTAAAGCAGATCTGGTAGAAATTGTCAACAAACACAGGGAGCTTATGCGGTATGTGTCAGTTCATTTCGAAAATGTACTCTTAGATTATGTCTCTAAAGTAAAGTTTTCTTTGTTAAATAAATTCTGAACAAATCAATCGCAATCCTGTCGACAGTATATTCCCAGTTCCAAAAATTAAAAATAAAGATATTTACAGTTTGCATAAAAAATATTTAAGATCTCAATTTTCGAGTCACTATGGAACGTTGCCAAAACGAATCAGAAGTTCGTCGCCACTTTTGTTAATTTATTTATTTTGACCAAAAGTTTTTTACCTCTCTACTTCTTTGTTTTTACTTTGGATTTTATGGCACAGACTGCATAATATTCATTGACCTACTTTATTAGCGTTTATACTACCTCTGCAACCCTGACTTTGTCTGCAATAGCATGGAAAATAATGTCACACGTGATAATTTAGGTCATGGAATATGATTGCCAAAATGTTATCAAATTACGCTCAGCAGTGTTTGTAACCAACAATCATATCTTCTATTGTTGTTATTATGATAGCAGTAGCTTGTAAACCATTTTAAATTGGATTTTTTTTCAGTTGTGTAGATTTATTAGAGACAATTTTTTCAAAATCCACTCTACTCAACGTTATGACCAGCTCCTTAATCATTTGTGCAGCGGGTTTCAATTTGATGGTAAAATTTCTAATATTGGTTGGCAATTTCAGTTTTATAGACACTTCAATGTTTGCAACCATTTTGTTCCAGGCTATCAAAAACCTCGCACTAATGGCTCCATTCACCTCATTTCTCACATTTGGTTTCAGCCAAATATTTTTCCATTGCTATTATGGGGATTACATAATGAGATCTGTAAGTAGGTATGCTTAACTCATATTATTTGTTCTAGTTTCTGTGGTAACGTATTGTTATTTTTCCAGAGTATGGGTGTAGGCGATGCTGTTTACAACAGTCGTTGGTATGAAACAGGAGCGGCCGAGAGGAAATATCTTTTGATTGTTTTACTTCGGTTTGTATAACATTGTAAGAGGTTTTAGAGTTAAGTGATTAAAGGTGAATATACATTTTTATTACGTGAGCGTCGATGGCAAACACGTTCTGGGGGTAATTGAAATACTTACAATAGTTATTTAAAACTTATGTGGAAATGTTTCTGAGCTACAAAATTAAATGATTTGTAGATATAGGTTCCTAATGATACGAAAATGCAACTGTGTGCTTATTACTACAGAAATTAAAAATATTACAAAGTTCAGTGGTGAAATTGGGTGAAAATGTTCAACTGTTTTAGTCATTTTAATATAAGTTAAACAATAAACTTTTATGAGATATAACTGTGAATAGATATTAGTTGGAATAGACGTTACCCGACGCCTAAAATCACTTTCTTACGGTTTTGTTATTAAAGTCGTGCTTTGGTGAGCGTTGATGCCGTGGTTCCACCCCTGGCTAGGATTGGTATAAGTATTTTAATAAGGACATTTTGGATGACCTTGTTGTAATGTCCTCGAAATCACCAAACCTCTTTCTACTTTGCTTGCGTTTCAGGAAGGTTATTTTTTTCCTGAATTTATTTATGTTTAAAATATTGATATCTTATGTTATTTTATCTCAGGACAAGCTAAAGGAACAGAGAGTTTTATCGATGCTTACATATTCAAAGAAGTAAAATATTTTCCAGGATAGCTACCGATTAGTGTGTACTTTTCAGATTTTTATATTTGTGTAAAATTGTTGTTTTGCTTTCAGGTCTCAAAAACCATGCAGATTAACAGCTTACGGGTTTACGGATATTAATTTAAGGGCATATACTCGAGTAAGATATATGTAACGTTGTAAGTCAATTTAAATTTTTGTTCTCTGAAATTACTATTTTCATTTCAATTTCAGATTTTGAGTACATCGTGGTCGTATTTCGCTCTTCTGAAACAAATGTATAATTAAACTGTAGCAAGGAATTAAAAATATTAAAGTAACGAAAAAAAAAATAGCTAAGTTATAATTCATAGATTGTAGTTTAGCGTCAAACACAATTCACAGAAATAGGATATTATAATAACTAACTTGACTTAATTTTGTATGTCGGTGAGAAATACATACATCTACAATACAAATAAATACTACATAGCATATAAAATTAAGAAATTAAAACCTTTCAACGTATGATCGAGTCTTTCTAAGCTTAGTAATTAGGGTTCGTTGCAAATGATATATTGCATTTAGTTTCACTTTTTTTCTACAGGTTTGTGTATAATTATCAGCCAAGCTTTTAATTGCACATTTAACGACACGATCGAAGGTTTTTTATTGTAGCTGTATATAGGTTGTTTCAGTTTTGGTTAACAAAGTAGACAGCGATGAGCTCGCAGTGCTCTTGATTTTTTTAATTTTTTGTCTCAGTTTAAATCTACTGTTTTTACAAATTTAGATAAGAATTTACTACCCACATAGAATGTAATACGAATTTTTCTTCTCCGTGTGCTAATGCTGTTAATAAATGAAAATGAAAAAGTGTAAGATAAGTTTTTAGTAACAAAAGAGGCAGTAAATTTATCTTATTTTAAACATCCTGTAGTATACGTAGTAAATTATACAGTTTACCAAATATTGTAGTATTAAGTGCAATTTGGAATTTCAAAGAACAAATATAAAAGCACATCTTCATAGAAATTGAGCTGTTGTCAACTACAGCACCGCAAAACTTGAATACAGCAAAAGTACATTAATTTAGAGAATGGTTGAACCGTTTCAAAAATGTTTAAGTCAAGTCAACTTTTTTTGCAAGTTGCTTGGTATGAATATAGATTATCGTGGTGATAGCGAGACTTTAATACAATTCTTGCGTAGTCACAAGTATTTTATTGCACAGTTTATTTTATTCAATTCTCAAAATGTATCCCAAATATCATGGGTTTGCGAAGCCGTCATCACAGGAAAATCTTTCCTAGATGTAACTTATATGATCCCTTGCCTAATTTTTTGCATTTTAAGTATTTTTAAAGGAGTCTCAATACTTTATTATGCAAAATATAATTACGAATTCATTGTTACTATGAAAAATTTGCTAGCGGGTCTAACGCCAAGCAACGAGGAACATAATATTTTTATGAAAACTATCATTGACAAACATGTTTTAATGTTGACGATTATATTCAAGAGGATGGTTAATATTGTTGCGGTGTGTCTGATAATGTTTGCTTTGGGGCCCATTTTTATTATGCTGTCGAATTATTACAAGACTAAAGAGGTCAAACTTGAATTGCCCTTTATCGGATATTATCCGTTCAACGAGTACGACCTACGGATTTATCCCTTCATGTTTCTTCATCAGTGGTGGACAAGTATGTAACCATTGAATTGTTCATGTTTTTATACTTCGCTTTCAGTCAATTGTTCAATGCTTGACTTGAGCAAAGCATTAAACATTAGTTTTTACTTATTAACCGATTTCCGAAGAAGGAGGACTTACTTACTTGGTACTTCCTCTACACTCTGCATGAAGTTATAATATACTTTGCAAGTGGAAGTTTGGCCTATCTGGAAGTCATTGGGGGAGGCCTATGTTCAGCAGTGGGCGTCCTGTGGCTGATATGATGATTATGATGATGACACTTTGCAAGGAACTCAAAACATACGTTAGCAAAAAAGTTTGTAGAGAAGAAACGAAAAATATTTGAATTGATTTTATTTTATTTATTGCTAGGTCTCTTCGCTACGTTAATGGTATGTGGAACTGACTACTTCTTCTTCACTTGTTGCACATTTATACAAATTCAGTTCACAATACTGAACTATGATATGGAAAAATTAGTTAATGACGGATCTAGTTCATGTGACAAAGATAGATTGAAAGAATTAGTTTTGCGCCATATTGAATTAATGAGGTAAGTGGAAATTTATTAATTCGCATGTAAATAACGAATGATGATGATTTGACTAACATTACAAAATATGTTTTCTGATATATTGGGAATGTAACTGCACTACATTATTTTTTATAATTTCAGGTGCGTAGATATCATGGAAACAATATTTTCAACGTCAATCTTATTCAACGCACTGACAAGTTCAGTCATAATATGCATCACTGGCTTTAATGTTTCGGTGAGAATTTATTTATCTTATATTCGATTATCATATTTGAAAGGTTTTCTTAGAATTCTAAACATATACTAAAAGCTCTTTGACTCCACTTATACATTTGTTCCGGGTCTGGATATATGTATGTGTAATTACTTGTATATTTGACTATACTCTCACTACACCGAAGAAAATCCTAATGTGGGGCCAAGTATTTAGGTATTGAAAACAAAAAAAAGAATGTTAAAAGACCTATGACCTATATCGCATCATCATCATAAACAGCCTATAAATGCCCATTGCTAAGCAAAGCCTCTTCGCATACGGAGAAGGTTTGAGTATTAATTACCACGTTTGCTCAATGCAGGTTGTTTTTGGCAGTCTAAATAATCTTAGAAAGAATATATAACTGGGAAAAAGTCACATTGGTACTTACCGTAGGTAGGTTTCGAACTCGCACCTTCATGCATGAGAAGCAGGCGTTTTGAATCTTCGGGTCACCGAGACTTATATATTCTGTGCCAATACCTATGCCAGGTAAATTAAATATATTTTTGGATTGGTAGCTACAATACAAACTTCTGTTTCAGGTGGTTGAAAACGTATTTATGGTGGGTTCATTCTTGGCTTTTCTAATTTTCAGTGTAGTGGAAATCTTCTTATATTGTTATTACGGCGACATTATTATGAGATCGGTAAGTTTTATTCACAATTACAGGCCTAAAGCACAATCGTTTTTGATCAAGGATGGCCTTTTAAGAGAGGATTTTTATCGAAAAAAATAAAACGCGTATGTACGCTGATCCTTATTAATGTGAACAAAAGCTAGTATTTTATAAAAGGAGATAAAACGATGTAAAAAAAGAAAACAGTTCGTATCATTTTCTTTCTCTCAGTTTTTCCTTGAGGCAAGATGGCCAAATTAGTTTAATCTAATGAGCAGTTGTTTCTACGCTAGTGGAAATTAGAGAACTCGAGAGCTTCATTAAGAAGAAATAAATACGTTATCCATGTGATTCTTTTAAACTTTTTTTTTTTGATATTTTCCCAGAGCATGAATGTAGGTAATGCAATATACAATAGTTGTTGGTACATGACGGGAGTGGCGGACAGAAAATTGTTCCTCATCATTATAACAAGGTACATATTAAACATATATTTACACTGTTAAATAAAGAAAATTACTGAAATTGATAACGTTAATTTCCTTTCCAGGTCCCAAACGCCTTGCGAATTGACGGCCCATGGATTTGCCAAAATTAATTTGTACACATTTTCGAGTGTACGTGAGCTATAAACATATTGTATTTATTGTTATTACTCTGAACTGAGTTGCTGACAGATTATTTATTTTTCAGATTCTAAGTACAGCCTGGTCATACTTCGCTCTTTTGAAGACAATGTATCATCCAGAATGAAATCTTCATTAACACCACTTTTTAAATTTATTGTTATTATTTGGTCTAAATAAAGCACGCTTAATATGTTCAATAAATAAACATTGTAGATTATTGTGGCTGTATTTTATTTTCAACATAAATATAAAATATTTACAGGAATCGTGAAGGAAATAATTCTTGATAAACTCCTAATGTTTCAAAGTCTAATGTTTTCAGTAGAGTTTCATTTCATGCCAGTTAAAGCCTGAAAATGCTGAAGTAAACTTTCCAAAGTAACGTTCAACGAATATCGTTATGTTATTGATTAAGGTTTTGATTATAATTTACTTTTACAGAGTTTGAGTTCATTTTGGGTGAACTATTTTAAGTTTCTTTTTAACAAAAGGCTCTTGTATCAACTTTTATTTTTTTTCCAAATTCCATTATTAATAAGTAACAGAATAACAGAAAAACATGTTGATTACGTACTAGTTGTAGTTATTTACTAAATAATATCCACAATGACCTTAGCTAACTTACACGGTACATTACAAATGTTGTCTTTTCCTTATACTTCATTTCTGTATTCCAAGCCTCAGGGGAGCCATATATCACGCCTATTTCTTTTTTAATATAATTCACATCGTACACTTTATACCTTTCGAAATATATTCTGGGAATTGCGGAACAAGGTATTCTTAATGCTTATGTAGGTCATGAATGCGGTAGTTGATGCCGTTGCGCAAAATAGCGAAGAATCCTGTAGTGGGATCGCTCTCTTCGGACAGACACAGACAAAATAATAATGAAATAAAACAAGCCAAACGACCACTGCGAATCGCAGTAAAACTTGTGATTTATCGGACGCCATCAACAGATGTCCGAGACATCGTTAACAGTTTAAAAAATACTTTTAGCCTAATGAAGATGTCGTTTATTCGATTCTTTGTAGAAATCATCAGACAAACATTCGTCTATTAATGAAATTACCTTTTTGACAATATTTTATGGGTCTATGAATAATTTCTTGAAGTGCTGTGTAGCGTGTTTTCAGTGGCTTGGCAGCCGTAAACGTAATTTGCCGCAACATTGAACTAAGGCGTGAAAGACTAGAACGAATTCATAAGAATGATTGACACGAATCTGAATGTATTTTACTTATAATATTTTCTGACGACGACTGACGACTGAGTAGTCGATGGATGTAAATTACCAGATAACGTAAACAAAAAAAATCATAGATGAGTATCAATTAGTTTATGTTTTATATTAAATGATAAGTATTTTCTTTTCATGAATCACAACTTTATGCCACTCATATTCTGAGTAATTGGCTAAATTGTTTTGTTAAGTCTTCTGAAAGAGGAGAGTCTACAGCAATATAACCAGATCAAGATATTACTAGTTAATGATTGCAGAACCACATGCTCGCTTGTTCAAATCAGTCGTAAATATTAATTGAAACTAGTGTTTATATTTACTTCACACACAATCCGTGGTCTAGTAGGCAATATTGTCAGTAATTCCTTGAATATTCAAACGACGCAAGATGGATTTGGCATTGTCTCGGAATGATGAGACACACAAACATATTAAAGATCTGAGTCATGCGTAGTCTTTCTTGAAACATGTTGCAATTTTGTAAATGGAATTAAATAAAATAAGTACATAACTGCATATCGTGGTATCTTACCTACTTGACATCAGTACCGTTTTTGGTAAAAAAACACCCCGTAAAGATAATCCAATGCCGCGTCAAATCTTAATTTCGGTCTGTATCCAACCGGCTGTGATGTCCGTCGATTAACTCGTGTGGTGATAGATAGGTGCGTCCGTGTAATTAACAAGGGTGCGACTAAATTGCCGTAATTGTCGCAGTGTACACACGACGCGGGATTTGTAATTAAACCACATGTCCGGATACTTTTATACAATGGAATGTTGTTTTTAGTTTCCTATTCACATGTGTTGATGTTGATGGTTCTTTATGTAAGAGTTAGGAAGGTACTGTACTTCGGTTTTAGGCTACTACTTACTAAGAATTCCAATGGTGTCATAGAAATTTATAATAATGTCGTATATCATATCTAGAGATAGAATTAAAATTGTGACCGAGTTGTTTATCTTAGGATTGTTAGGCTATAACTTCTCTTTAGATTGGTTTATGGTTTACCAACGCAAAGCATAAACAATTTTTTTTTTTATATTCCAGTGCCTACTGACTGCAACTTCTGTGGATAATTTCTTCACTGTTTTTACCGGAAGAAACATTAGCAGCAACTTTTATTGAGACACATTCCACATTGATAAAAACATAGCATTTTACATAAATAAATATTCGCGTAAACATCACGTTCGCGAACTTGTCGTAAAATGATAAAATAACGTCGGCGAAGTTAATTAAAAATTTATTGCCGACCCGTGTTTGTTGTCGTAACATGTGTGTTGTGGTTGAAAAAAAAAACGATTTAATACAGCGCTGAAACAGACGTGAATGTCCCTTCGGGTAAATGTTTAACCAAATGTGACCTTAGATAATCCTCAAAAAATAATTAAACCTCTCTGTTGTTCCCACAACCCTACACGAACTGCCTACATTGTTGATAACAGTATAGCGGCAGAAAATATTCCTTTATAAAGAATACCGACAATATTAAAAGATAATTTGCAATATGTGTCTGAGTGTCAGCACGATAAATATATTATGAATATTTTCCCTTAGAACAAAATAAACCTCATCAAAGATGACTTAGTAGAACATGGTCCTTGGGCCTTGTAGACGCTTTCAATTTGCGTTTATGACAAGATAACAGCCAACTAAAACGTTCTATAACCTGCATTGTTTACGATTGCCAATAAGAGAAATATCGTCCAGATGAGTGACGTCATAAACAAAGCTAAGATATCGAATAGGAAATAAAATAAACTGACGTCACGCATCGAATTCTCAGCTCTGAATCGCAACGAATCCCTGCTCAGTATCATCTGGTTGCGTAAACTCGGCTGGAGCTCGGCTTTGAGATGCTCTTGTAAACATTTGCTTAAACAAATAATGGCTGCTATATCATCAGGCTATCGATTGCAACGTCGGTTCATTCCGTGATACTAAAAAATATGTTTTACTGGCGATTTTTCAGTGTTTAAACTAAATTATGTTCCCATTACTCTGCATAAAATATAGTTTCTAGTTTCTACTATGAAAATGCATTCGGTGAATTGAATATGTAATTGGACCACGTACTGCCCATATTTTTCTTGTACATGTTTCGGTCTTTCCGGTTCAGTCAATAAAGTATTATGCTGGTGCTATAAGTTTCATGATTAAATGGGGCAGACCGATTCGACCCCATGACCCCTCGACCTGTTGTCAATACCCCAGTTGCTTGAACTAGGGAATTGTTATGACCGCTACATTATCATTATGTAAGCGTTTGCACAAAGTCTCTCAGTGGGAATGTGTTGACAAAGTATTTATTTGGTAAGGAACTGAGATTTTCCTTATATGCATGAGATTCAGTTACTCGTCTTAGATATAATATAAGTAAGTATGCAAGAACAAAAATTTAATTTATAAATGAAATGAATAGGCCCCATTGCAATACTTAACCTAAATTGCGTTGAGCCACCGACGACGGAATGAAAATTACTTTTTAATTCCAAGTCGAGCGCCAAACCGACTTAGCAGACTTCATTTAGCCTTTTACTCGTCTTCTCATCTTGGTCTGTAAATATAATTTTTTTGCAGACTAGTCTACATATCAATGAGTTTACGATTCATATTTGATTTTGTTTCGAGCAAAAAATCGGTACTAACTTGAGTGGACATGGGTTAAAATTAGTGTTGTATTACAAAACTAGTGGATAAGAAGCCAAAACATTTAATTTAATTATGAAGTTGTAAACGCTGACAACTATTACACTGAGATTGTAGAACTTTGTTCTTACCACGGTTAAAGTTTCTCTATTATGTGGCCACAGAGGGTTGCCACAAGTTTTGCCTTAATATCGTGCATGGTGGAAAAGATACGTTTTCTCCGTAGTTTAATAAGTACGTGATCTGCAAACTTTCTTAGTTCGTTGCTCTTTAATTTTAATTAACAGATATCCTACTATCTATGTAGTGGTATAATTGTAGCAGTCCGTGGCCGTACTGAGACAGCTTTCAATTTCTTTAGGAACTTTGTGCTTCTGGAAGTTGTTTTACTCGCGTTTCTGGGATTAAAAGTGTGCCATTCCAGACTAAAGCCCTTCTGCAAAGTTTAATCCATATCAGTCCACTACGTTTTTGCGTAATGCAAACATAACGCGTTTATAATATTAGTAGAATTCAAGAACTAGTTTCGTGTTATTTACAATAGGGTAGAGTTTTGCCAATATATTATTATGTTTATATTACTGGCGCCAAGCTTTTACTTTATTTCCATTAAATAAAAAAACCGGTTAACTAGAATGTTGAATATTTATTGCTATAAACTATTCGTTTGTCCTTCGTCGGATGTGGAGCAAATGGAGAGCAGCGAATAATATTTTTAGTATTTTACGATAATAGTTATGGAAATAATAAAACTGAGTGCAAACAGTGCAAGTCGGTGGAGCTTCCATTTAAAAATATTTGCTGTATGAGCTAAAAATTTCTTTATCGTAGATATAAAATGGATTTCGGTGAACAATTTCATTGGATCTATTTTAAAATGCTATGGATTTAGATAAAGATTTGTTCGCACTTTATGGCCTCGTTTGTCTGGCGGATAGTGCTAGTATAATCCTCTAATCGTAATTGATCCGAATCGAGGATAATCCCTTATTCGATTCCACAGATATCAGTGTAAGATTGTGGAAATACAAATAAAATATGCGTTTAACTAAGATTAGGTGTGACGTTGATGAGTACGTATTTAGACTCGTTAAGCAACTTAATATATGAAATAAGTATGTATAGACATAAGTCGACATTATAACAACAAGTCACCCTTGTTATTCCTGGAAGGTGTCTCACTTTAATGTATAAGTACTTTGTGAGTCCTTCAGATTTTAATCTT